CATCCATCCATCCACACATACTCCTCTCCGCCCACCGTACCCTGTCTGAAGTCATTGCCCACCCAATCTGACCTACTTTGACCCCCTCGTTGGATATCTTGCTATCTTTACTTCTACTCACCATCTATCAGCTGTGTCATATCAAAACGCGTCTGTTGCTGCTAGTCTCTACTCTAACGATCCCATGGCGCGGGACCATGTAAACATGGACCAAGACAAGGTACGACCGTCCCCTCATCCGCACTATGCGCGACATACGAGCTGACATGTTTCCTTGACGCAGAGAATTGAGGCAATTCACGACTTGGAGCTTAAGCATCAGGAAATCATGCATCAATCCAATGTTATTGTCAAGGAGGAGGATACGCGAAGGCATAGACTTCGCAGTGTCGTACTTCGAGACGAGAACGCTACACTTCGAGAGCAACTCTCCCAGAAAGATGTCCGTATCAAGAAACTCGCCCAAGAGTGCGACGGCATGCGCGATCAATTGGAGGCCGTGAACCGGACTTGCCAGGACCAGCAGAAGCAACTTCGCGCTCAGGCGCGAGATCAGTCAAATCTGAAGGTATGAACGCGCAGTGGCTCTGAGAGTTGGCTTCGTTGCTAACGTAAACAGTCTGAATTACAATCATTAAGCAGTGTCACCACCGATTCGGCAAAACTCTTGTCAGAGAAACTTGCACTTTCACGCGAGTTGGCAGTTCTCAAGCCGGAACTTGAGCACCTGAGGTCTCAACTCTCGCACCAAAATGATGTCCTGGCTGAAAAGCTTGCTTTGGAACGACAGCTGAATACACTAGAGGTTGAATTGGCGAACGAGAAGCGGGCGAATCAGAAGATTTTGCAACGACAAGCCAGCAAGGACAATGAGATAGAAGAGGACCTGCGACAACAAGTAGCAGATCTTGAGAAGAAGCTGGCGAAGGAACAGCGCGCCACAGAAAAGGCCAAGCAATCCCAGGCCTCTCAAGAGAGTGAGATTGAACAGGAGCTTCGGCAACAAGTAGCCGATTTGGAGAAGAAACTCGTCACAGCCAAGAAAGCTAAGCAGTCCCAAGAAACTACAGATGACCAAGCAAATGAGGCGCTCCGACAAAGAGTAGTAGCACTGGAGCAGGAGCTTGCTCAACAGAAGACCGAGTTCGCCCAAGCTCGGAAGACTACGGCAAAGGAAATGGCGGACGCGCAGAATGAGCAAGAAATCCTGCAGCAGAGACTCGAAGAAATGAAGACTAAGCTGCGTCAAACGCGTGCTGAGCTCAAGGAGGCTCGCGGTGGACCTGCAAAGCCGCAGAACACGACTACTACCATACCCACGGTATTCGCTGAGGATAATTCTGTGAAGAAGCCAACAGCGAAGGCTCAAGCCCGCCGGAAGCGGCGAGCAGAGGAAATCAGTGTGGATGAATTTGTTCTACATACCCCCACAAATACTGATGGTAGACTCAAGCGACCCGTGAAGAAGCGAGGCGGTCTAGACCATACACTGGTAGGGGAGAAGTCTGCCTTCTCCATCACTCCCTTCCTCAATAAGACCATCAACATCACAGAGGTAATTAGTGAAGAGCCGGAATCCCCAGAAGTCTTCAACGAGGGCAACCCGTCTTCCCTTCAAGAAGACAAAACAGGCTCAGAACCAACAGAATCAGAACCTTCTGCTGAGGTCGCTCCGGAGCCAGTTGTAAAGCCAAGCCAGAAAGCCACGGTTGAGCCAGCTCAGAAGAAGGCTCGGGGCCGTCCTCCTAAAGCCAAGGCTCTTGCGGAGGCATCTCCATCGAAGAAGAACATGCCGCCACCAAGCAGCCGCAAGAATCTTTACGTTGAGTCAACAATTACCAAAGTGATGGACGCAGTAGAGGAGAGCGGTAAAGAGAACAGGCCGACGCAAGTCGTGACTGCTGCTAAGAAGGGTCTGGAGCTGAAGGTCAAGACTAGCGAAGCTCGCACCAGCGGCGCAAGCGCAAGTGGTTCAGAGCCGGAGCCTAAGAAGAAGAAGCGAAAGTTGCTGGGAGGCGCAAATAAGCCGACACTCTTTGACGATGATGACGCAGAGGCAGCTCCCGCTCCTAAGCGGCCGGCAAAAATGCAACTTAATGTTGCAAGAGGCATGGGTAGGGTGCCCCTGGGAGTAGCCCGTAGTGGTGCCTTTGGCGGCAGTACATTCTCGCCGTTGAAGAAAGAGAGAAGAGGAGTGAACGCGAGTTTTCTGGCTTAAGGGGAAAACGGAATGGTCGGAGGGTCACGGATGGATTTGCATTGCAGGTGTTTAGGTACTAGGTTCAGGTTGGTTGGTTGGCACAGTGTCCTTTGGATGATTGTATGAATACGCGCAAGTTGTATTATTGATATGTCTCGTCTGAGTAATGACATGACTGTTTTTATTCATGGTCATGGCCAAGTTAAAAGTGAATGTCAGTCGATGTGTGACTTATGAAGTCGTAAAGCAGTAGCTTGAAGAAATTTGGTGGGGCTTAACAACTGCCCCTTCGAAATCTTAAATGAGATCTTGAACGCAACAAAAGACAGAAGGCAAAATCGCACCGCCACCAATGAGTAAAGAGTTCCGTTTCGGAAGGTGGATGGAGCAGGCTTAATCTCATGAGATCACACATCCGCTCATCCTGATGCTCTCTTTAGTGAGCAGTACGCCATGCCGTCGCGCAATTAATGGAACTGTTGCTCGAGGGCTAGGAGCATTACGCATCTACAGTTCTTTACAATCTACAGCTCCGGCGCCTCAGAGACAATGGCCTCAATACACAGACATCCGATATGCTTCATCTAACTCCCGTTGGAAGCAACGGCAGGGCAAGGATGTGTTCGCACGCGAAGCCAAAGTTCAGGGCTTGAAGAGCAGGGCTGCGTTTAAGCTGCTCGAGGTTTGTCTATATCACGCAATGAGATTATTTAAGCTCGCCTACTCACGATGTTGCTAGATGGACGCGAAATACAAGCTCTTTAAGAAGGGTCAGACTGTCGTTGACCTTGTAGCTGCACCCCAATCCCTCCGCACTCTATATCTTAAGTGCTTGATATAAAACCGATGACTGACACGTCTGATGCAGGGATACGCGCCGGGGAGCTGGTCACAAGTCGCCGTCGAGCGCACCAAGCCCAGCGGCCGTGTCGTCGGCATCGACATCTTGCCTGCACAGCCGCCCAAGGGCGTGGCCACCATCCAGGGCAATTTTCTCTCCCCTGGCGTGCAGGCGCTCGTGAAGCACTTCCTCGCGGAGCAGGCGCGCCGCCCGAGCAAGACGGTCACGGCACCAACAGCAACTTCTCACGCGCAAGCAGAGCCAAGTGTAATAACAGTACCTGAAGGCGAGGAGGCCGAGGGTAATGTCGTTGTTGATCGACCGAGCTACATCGACCTCGAACGGGAGGCCAGCCACGAAGCTGAGGCTCCTGGCAGTGAGGAGGATAGCAGACGATTGGTGGATGTAAGTCTTATCAGCTATGCAATATCTGCTAGAAACTCCGTGTCACTAAAGAAATTTCGCTGCAGATAGTCATCAGCGACATGTCAGAACCCTGGCCCCAGACGGCCGGCTTCTCTAGTAACACGTTAAGTAACCCTTATATCAGGATGATGAACACGAGCGGGATCGCTTTCAAGGACCACGCCGGCAGCATGGTAGGTTGCAATGCAACACAGTCCCCTCATATCTTGCGTATCTGTCTGACATGCCACCTTCTACCTGCTGCAGGACCTGTGCGAGGCCGCACTCCAGTTTGCGAGCGATACCCTGCGGTCCGGCGGTCACTTCCTGTGCAAGTTTTATCAAGGCGCCGAGGACAAGCTGCTGGAGAATAAGCTCAAGAAAATGTTCGCGAAGGTACATCGGGAGAAACCCGAGTCCTCTCGAAGCGTAAGTGAAACAACCCATTCTCAGTACTGTTCTCGGCTCAAAGATCACCGCAGGAGTCGAAGGAGGCGTATTTCGTCGCTCTAAGGCGAAAAGGCAACGTTGTCCTTGAAGATATACAGGAACCGTGAGGAAAATACATGTAATACCATGTTTGTACAAATGTAAAAATACGTGTAGGATAAGACGAGCCCACAGCATGCTCCACAAGGCACATCACATAGAATAGGGATCACATATCACATGAATTTAGAATCGGGGAGTTGGCAATAATTGCCTCTTGTATTTTCATTCTTTGCTTTTCGGTAGAACCATTTCACGCCAAGCCATGCAGAATCCGTCCAGAAGTACCAAGGCACAAAGCCTTGTAACAACCGCCCAAAGTATATCTCGTGAATGACCACGCCATTGACCAAAACCCCAACAGCCGAATATGGCCATTTACACCTTGAAACCACGAGACCTTCTGCGACCACGAGCCTTCTCGAACTTGCGGCCCTTGGATCCGACGTAGGGCTTCTGTGGAGGGTATTAGACATCATCTTCGAACCTTGTGAGAATAAGCATGATCGTACCTTGTGCTTGTGGGGACCGAAGCCGAAGTGCTTGACGGCCTCACGGGAGTTCTTGGGGCCACGGAGCAACAGGGTGTTGGCACCAGTGGGCTTCTCAAGAGCAAGCTGGTCGAGAGTCAAGGCCTGGCCGCCGGCAGCGAGAATGCGAGCACGGGCGGTGGCAGTGAAGCGCAGAGCGGCAACGCTGACCTTGGGGACGGTGAGCAGGCGGTTGTCATCGGTGACGGTGCCGACAACAACGACGGTGCGCTTGTCGTCCTCCTTGACCTGAGTGGCAATGCGAGACAGGGACAGAGGGGGGCGGTTGATGCGGGACATGAAGAGGCGGCGCAGGACAACCTTGTTGAAGCTGGAGTCGGTACGGCCTGAAACAGGAAGGTCAGCAAACGTATTTATGAGTGCTCGACACAAGAGAAAATGACTTACGGGCCAGGAAGCGGTACAGCTTCACGAGGAGCTTCAGGTAGACGTTGTCGCTCTTGGGAGCCTTGCGGTGAGTGCTGCGCACATGGTGTCTGTCGAGATCGATACCTAAAAAGAGACAAAAATTCCTCGTCAGCCTTTTGATTCTTGGTATGCTCAAAGAGGGCAGCCTCTGGAGCAAGCGGTCGATCGTCAATGAAGACGTCGTCCCGACTCGCTTCCTTTTCCACAATCAAGGGAAACGGCGCCGTGTTTCGCAGAGAGATCAATCACGATCTTCCACTCGCACACAAAGGCTTAACAGGAAAAAGAAGCCTCACGTACCCATCTTGGCGGACGACTCGCGATGATTTTGTCGGAGTCGATGGGTGACAGTTGTCGTCGGTGGTTGCTGAAGGAAAGCAAGAAAAAGTTCGAGGGCCCGAAATTCTAAATGGTAGGGCGGAAAATGCTCAATTGGTGTGGTGTGGCCCGTGCACTTTAGGGCAACAATTTTTTGACTGGGAGAAATGGCCTCCGAGCCTAGTATATAAGGCAGCAGTGCTGCATGTGCTTAGCCTCCTGGATAGGTTTAGCTCACCAAACTCGTGCTATCGAAAGCTGCAGATGGTTCAGATGTGACGATTCTCTGCATGAGATGGGACAAATATACCATCATCACTTAAGGGCATGCTGTAAATGTTATATTGCCAGGTAAAATATAATAAGTCGTATCATGCTAACAACGTATATTCGTGGCACTAGAGAATATCTATATACATCTTTCCAAAGTTCTGGTCTCTCGACAGAAAGCGAGGAGCCCCGTGTATAATAATCAACTCTCCCGTGAGGGTATCGTATGGAAGTCGTGTAATACACCACTCTTCCGAGGGTGTTTTGCTGGACTGTCTCTAGCCTCCTTAAGCCACTTCTCTGGCCCAATCTCTTTATTGTTAGAGTCTAGAGGCTATTGAAATATGATCAGCTGCAGGCCATTTCCTGGCTCTTCGAGATCAAGTTCTGTTAAAATATAGCTGCAGTTGTACAGTAGACAAGTTTGCGAAGGTGTTAGTAATTGGTCTTTATCTTCCCTTCTCTTGTCATGATAGGCAAGCGGCGTATCATTATGAACGCTGCAAGACGGCTGGGAGTGAGCCGCATTGTGCTCATCATAGGACGGCCTCTTCCGGTCGCAGACCAACCAGGAAGTCGCGTGTCATCTCAAAACTCAACCAACTAGACGCCATGCTGGGAGCAACCTTTAGTAGGTTAGGGACGATACCCTTATACAAACCCTTGATTCCCTCCTGGGCGAAAATTACTCTGACCGCGTCTGGTATTGACTTGTACTGGTAGCCCATGCCCGACATTGTGTTGATTTGAAAACGCCGCCGTAATACATCACTGTTTCCATGTTATTCGAGAGGCCGAGGATCGAAAGGGGACCAGGACTTACAAGGGATATGTGCATGTTTGCGCCACAGCTCCAGATACAGCACCAGCAAGCAGTTTGCGCATGGCGTTTGGATTTTTGTCGCCCTCAGGCGTCAAGTATTTTCGCACCCATTCGTACACCATGAAATTCAGACCCACGTACGGCGCAACTCCCGCAACAGTTGGTACGATTCCACGATACAGCGCCAGAAACCCGCCTTCAGTCTTGTACATTGATGCCAACGTCTTCCACATGCCGGGCATCTCTCTCGTCTTGTCCCCCAGGTCGGCAAACGAGGCGGTCTGGATGGATAACCTCGTCCGAACAATATCGAGCGGGTATGTGAACGTGACCGAGGTGATGCCAGCGATTCCACCGCAAAACAGCCGGGTGAGGGGAGACAGGTCGGCGCCGGGGTACGCCTCGAAGAAGTGCCGCTTGTAGAAGTTGTAGCTGCCGAATTGCACCGCGCTGTACGGTACTATCCGTATGCAATTGGTGCCGTTGCCACGCATGAAGCCCCGCCAGCCCTCTTCCCTCCACATCTTCAGGAGAGCCTTGCCAACTGACAGTTTGTATTCTTCACGGCCAACGCTTTGTACCTGGAATAATATTTTCAATCTTTCGAGAGGAGAAACGACTGTTCTGGAGACGGCGCCGGCGACGCCGCCAGCGCAAAACGCTGCTATGACCGGCTCGCTGATGAAGCCTCGGAGCTGGCTTATTTTGTCGGGGGGCGCATATTGCGCGCTAGGAAGGTCGCGCTGTGACTGCTGTACGAATTAGTATACTGAACTGGCCTGAGATTTAACCAGGGGTCACATACAGCCGACATCATGAAAATCGTAATCGGGGAGGTTTGAGGAGTAAGTCGGAAGATGTGACGCGCGAAGAGAGGCGGCTGTAGGAGGAGGCAACGTCACACTGGGGCGAGGATGTTTGCTGAATCGAAGAATGGCGCATTTAAGACGTGCTGAACGGTAGTGATACAGTTATAAGAATGTAGTAAAGTAGGCTGTCCTGGAACAACGCTTCCATGAGACGCAGACCGCGAATAATCTTTAAAGGAGAGGTCGAAGGATGAAACGGGGCATATTCCAAAGGGCAGAGGCAAACGCTGAGGCTGAGAATAGCACCGTCAACCCGTCAAGCCGAACCCGTCAAATATAGTATAGAGGAGTGGAGATTGTCTGTATCATGGAGAGAGTGTCGAGCTGCCGCTTCGGTATTCGTGGAGCGTTGAGGCGTCGTGGTCGTGGCCGACGTGGACTTGGAACGGCCAAAAAGCCCTGACGTAGGAGTGGATCAAGTCGAACCGAGAGCCGCTCAGAAGCACTGCAGTTTAGACCGCCGTGTACTTTGATCTTCTAGAGTCAATCGAGCTCCTCGTAATGCAGGTCGGTGCGAGAGTCTCTCAGACGGGTATTTTTGGACAAAAGGTCTTGGTTTTGGCGAGTTGCGCAGCTGAAGAGCCACTCGCGAGGCCACAGATCGCAACTTTTTGCCAAGTGAGGTCGAAGGTTTGTGCCGCTAGTGGTGTACCCGTGGTTGTGGCACGAGCTTCGTATACAAAGGGGGCGAATTAGCAGAAAAGATACATAGCATGCAATGTAACCAAAGATCTTGCCCGCCACTGGTATCTAATAAGCTGGCGTCTGCAGCATGATCTGGTCACCAGGAACCCTCGAGCTGTCAGATTCAACAGTCAGTGATCTTGGTCCCTGACTCTTCTGAATCGCAGAATAGCTTTGAGGGGTTCCTATTAGGGAGAACAGATGACGCGAGATTGGCAGACGCCTCCCAAGACACTGCTCAGGCCGCCGGCGCCAGCTACCGGCCATTTACGCCTATGGCTGGCTGCATGTTCGGCTGACCCCGGATCAGATCGGAAGCACGTCGCGATCATCTCTGCCGAAGTTTGTCTCAAGCTCGACCAGATAGGAAATAGTCTGTCGCTAAATGGATATCCCCAGAGCTATGCGATAACAATGCTGATCTTCAGCTATTGCTGATTGGTCCTTTTGGAGTTGTCGCTAGACAGTAAGATGCCCTCAATCAAGCTTGAACCCTGAACTACGGAAACATGCATCCCTCCTTGGGTGGATCGATGCTGTCGCCTTTGCACAGTACTGCGTACTCATTCCTTGAAATAGTAGAAATTATAAATGATATGAGCTGTTCTAGCATTTATCATTCTCTCACTTTTCTTGAAAGACTATATCCAAATACGAAGTAGAAGAACGAGGTGAACAAGATTTCCTCTCGAAAACGTACACATGCATGGTCACTGTCACGTATATACTCCCGTGCGAGCGGACATACCTCCAGCTGTCTCACCTATTTGACGAGCGTGTTGGCCGAAAAGTCGATAATGGCGAGGAGGACGGCGTGGGCGGATAAGAGGTATCGCTGGGGGGAGGGCGAAGTCATCGTGGTTTACGGAATGCTCAGTGTCAAATTGCTACTTGTAGTCTAGTTACTTTTCCGAATGTCCCTACCACAGGAAGCAGCAGGCTTTCCGTGCCGTTCGCGATTCCGTTCCGTTCGATATCGACGCATACGTGTTTTACAAAGTGTTACCGCCGGCGACGAAGCTCCGAATCCGAACCGGAAACTAGAAGAAAGGGTTGAGAAAGTCAAAGCCACATGATGCCAATACAGTCAGTGCCCGAAAGCAAGAAAAGGAGAGAACCTGTGAATTCCACCATAGCCGCCCCCTGGGAGTAGACGACACAGATGCCGCTTGCCAGCTACGTAGTATCCTCAGGACTCAACAGAGCCATCAGACGAATACCTACTCAGCGACATCGAGGTCGTCGTGGGCTGGGGCAGGGCTATCCAGGGCTGTGACAATGCTGTTAGCCATCGTTCCAAGTTGTGTTTCCTGAGCGCACTGAACATACTCTTTCGGTCATCGCCATTAGTGCCGTTCTCACGGCGATCGCGATCATCCCGGTCGTCCTTATCACGGTCGCTACGGTCACTTGTAAACATTAGTGGGAGATATGGTTCGGCCAAATGTGAGTATAGCTTACCGAGTGTCAGGAGAGCGCGAGCGGTCGCGAGTGTCACGACGGTCACGCGGGTCGCGATCACGATCGTAGTCACGGTCGCGGCGGTCGCGATCATCCTTTCTCGGAGAGTAGTCCCGACGACGAGGAGACGGGGATCGGCGTCGAGGAGAGCGGCGCGGGTTACGGTCACGGTCGCGGCCAGAGTCGAAGCGCCAGGATGCTGAGGGAGGAGTGCGAGCCCACTGGAGACAGAGTCAGTAAAAAACCTTGATAGAGCCTGGATGCGACGCCAGTCAGAGGCTTTGTGGCGTTGCATGTGCCTTACCTCGATCTTTAGGATGTCATCGCGACCGATGCGCTTGTTATGCATATCATGGTAAGCGTCATCAGCATCACGGCGATCCTCGTACTCCACAAAGGCAAAGCTAGACAATGCGTCAGTAGATAGATTAAAGAAAATGATGGAGGTCAGGCTTACAGTCTGCTGCTTGCAGAGCGGGGTGCCGGAATGTCGCAACGGATCAGTCTGCCGTAGCTGTATGAAAGTTAGCAAGAATAGCTCAACACCCTTCTTTCCAGAGACATGATGAGGGGTCTGTGATGGCACAAGAGCCGGAACTCGACAGTCTGCCGTAGATGGCAGGCGACTTGCCCGATGCAAGAGAAATAACATGCCGACATCGCCGATCGCTCGATCGAAGGAGGACGAGGGGGTATAGGGCGAGCTGATGAGAACGGCGTGCGCGAAGGGAAGCGAGAGGCGGTAAAGATAATGTTACGGGCGCCGCTTCTTCGGTGTGGCGTAGGGCAGGCAGGAAGGAAATCGATGTTCACGATGAGGTTGGATAAGGAACGAGGGACGAGGACCGAAGGGCGAAGTCGAGCTCGAAGCTGACAACCGAGTCATCGATAGAGGACATACCGTTCGAATTCGTAGGCGAGGTCTCGGGCGCGGGTGCCATGGCTGAAGCCAGTAACATACAGCGTGGTACCGCTGGATCGAGACATCTTCGCTGGATCGTGCTGGTGGTGGTTGTGATGCGACAACGACGGGGAGGTGGTTGGAGGACCAGAAAACGCAGCTAGGGATTTGGCCAACGCTGCCAAAAGGCGTTGCAAGCAGAAATCCCTGAGATATGCGAAGAGAGTGAAAAGGTTCGAACAAAGCGCCGTAGAGTCAACGCCAAATCGAAAAGTCGGTCTATATTGCGTGACGCGACCTGGAGATTGATGGATGTGAGGAACTGTAGTTGAAGGTGTGGGAAAAGTTCCTCTTTACGGCGAACAGTAGTGTTTGAGGTGCTGGCCCGAGCTGGCCGTGACACTTGCTTACCATGCCGGAAGGGGCTTAGTGGGCCCTCAGCTGGCTACCTAGGCTCACAGTGAGGTAACACACTGAGGATCACGTCACACTTTCAGGGCAAGGTATTTATTTACTGCCTCGTAGTCGTCTCACCAACTCCTGCAATAACTACGTATACCTGGCCCAAGGAGAAGGAGTTTCTGTGCACATCCATTTGATCTGTGCACCCTACATGTGCTTCTTCTCTGTTCTTCAAATTGTGCAAATAGACATACCTGGATGGCTTTGTTTCGTACGAATTCGCAGACTTAGGTTTTGCCCTCCTTTTGTTACAACCACTCAAACGGCTGTACCGAGCGTGCTTGTGTCATTAGTAGACTATTAGGACAACGAGCACAATGAACAAGTAAGGTGAGTGGCATCAGGTTTGAGAATCAATACATAGATCGACAACCTGCAAGTTACCAGGTCGCGCCAGATGTCACCTTTCTGTCCCGTTGGCAGCGGTCACCAGCTGCTGCCGCCAGGTGTCCGCACTGGTTCGGTGACACTCAGGGGTAGAAATATGATATTGACCAAACATGACTGTTTTGGACGTTCTCACATGCAACATACTTCTAGAATCTATAAAATAAGGTACAGGCTACAAAGGACACTGGGGCCAGTGAAAATCCCCAGCCAGAAGATCATATTCCCCAGTGTCTTCTGGTTCTTCAACCAATTGGTCCGACTGAGACTCACGAGCTGCAGATTGCCATCAGCATGTTTCTAACGCATTTGAGACTTGAGAGAAAACTTACTGGAAGCTGGAACATCTGGAGCATCAACAGATACCCGCGCAACTTTCTGAAGATGCACCACATCACCAGCTCATGCACGCAGGCGCTCAGGAAGAAGGTGATGAGCGTCGCCTGATACTTGTTGACCTTCAACGCCGAAATCGACGAGTGATAGACATGTCGCAGCAAAAAGTTATGGACCGGGCGGTTCCATGCCCTCGCGAAATAGTCCCATCTTGTGGAGTTCCACCAGTCGTCGTAAAAAGAGCGGTCGGCGAAGTAGGTCAGCTCCGCGAGGAGGTTGAGCACAGCCTCCCATATCAGGTACCACGTCAGGAGATACTCCATCATGAATGGAAAGATAAGGTCCGACAGCATCCACGGAAACTCGCGGAAGCGAGCAGCCAAAGTCATGCCAGACTCCTTCATGTCCACCGTCCTTATCACAACGGGGTAGATGAAAGCCTGCGATACCATGATCATCACGAAGATGAGCCCGAAAGTCGCGGCTGCCTTCTCCGCAACATAGAGCCAATTGATGGTATCCGATCGTGGGTACTCTAGCTCATAGACAAGCGTCGGAAGTACAATGTACTCGTAATGATTGGTAAATGTTAGATTGTTAGGATACGCGTTCTTCGAATCGGTGGATTTGCCCTTGAGCTCCTCAGTAAGCGCGTCGGCTTCCCACTTGATGATTCGTTCAAAGACGTGTACCTGCTCCTCGTCAAGGGGCTCGCCAGATTTGATAGCCACGGCAATTTTAGCAACATCAGTGTTCGCCACTGCTGCTGCGTTATGGATCGATTGCCGCCTCTCCTTGAGTTCGAGCGCGGACGGGGGATGGAGGAGGTGAGAAGTCGACAGAGCCGACGCCGGTGGGTAAGTTGTGGATGGTGACTGGACTGGTACGATGTCGTCCAGCTTCTTCAGCTCAGAAAGCAGATGGATGCGCTTCTTGTACGCTGAAAATAGGTACCCGTTGTAGAAGGCGTACGAGTGTTGCTTCATGAGCATGATGAGACCGTGCAAGGTGAAAAAGACGGTATGGGACCACGGCCAGTCCCGAACGAACGGCCAGTACAGCACCGCAGCAATAAATGTCGACTGCCAGACATTCTGGAGGATCCAGCCGGACCTATCCCAGTCGATGTAGCCCTTGTAAATGAGCTTCTGGAGCAGCCAGCTGACGCCTGTAACTCCGCACATGACACCGTCCGAAGCCAACAAAACGATGACATCTCTTCTGAACATGCTCTTCATAATCTCATTGGTTCCAAGGGCGCTGCCTGTTCTCTTCCAGTTCTCTGCCCCGATCTTTACCATGAACAAGAACACGGCGATCCAGAAGAGAGTGTAGAATCCATGAAAGGGACTGTTGGCAGCAACCTCATTCTGCCGGTCAAATGTCGAGAAGTTGCGCGTAAAGACGAAATCCCTAAATTGGCCCTTGTGCTTCTTGCCGTCGTCGCGCTGCATCCCCCGCCGCAGTATCTCTTTGAGCTCCTTATCGTCTGCCGCGATGGTGTACACCTTGGCGTTCTTCAGTCCCTGGGTCTTCAACGGCGTCAAATCCTCAAAGCTCCCGTTTTCCGAAGATCTCGACGACGATGAATTTTCTACCGCACTTGCGTTTTCCCGCAGTCTGCTGGGCTGCTTCAGCCCCGATGCCGTCCGCTGCCGGCGGACCACAACCACGGGCTGCTGCGACATCTCGTCCCAGTCCTCCTCGCTGGTGCTCTCTGACGACGCTCTTGAGCGGCTGCCGCCATTTGTCGCCCGCAGAGCCTCCCGTAGGGCTTGAGGCGGGTGGGAGGCAGGAAAGTATGAGCCATTCTCATTCTCGCCACCATTCCCCATACGTCCGCGGTCGACGTTGAGGTCGGCCTGTGTGGCCGTCCCATTATCCGCCATCTGAATTTCCTCACGCATCAGTAAGTCTTTCAATTCTCTTGTGGTACAATGTCGAAAGTGATAAGAGAACCATGCAGGGATTTAATAAGACATGTAAGACAGGGACAAGACGGCTGCGCAAAGATATAAAACTTGGATGGGGAAACAACAATTACTGGAGATGAAAGTCACCCAAGGCTATATGTAAGAGTTGTGTCGTGTCAGAGGTATAAGCAATGATTCAATGATAGGCATGTAGGATGCGTGCGGCGCCACCAGGCTAGGAAGGTATCGATCCTCGCAGCCCAGCTTACCTTATAAAGCGGCTGAAGCCGTCAGCAATGGAACCTTCTTACAGCGTCGTTTTCGTCGGCTTCTACGGAAAGCGGGCAGCCAATTGTCTAGGCAGGCCTCATCGCGATTTGGCTCTCCGGCGCGAAACGAGGGCGCGACCGCCGACTTGACTCGGTGGTCTTTTTGTCCCTTTTCGCTCGTCCGGTGTGAAACTGCTGTCTTCTGACAGGTCGAAGCGCAGCCGAGTGTCCCGAAGAAACAAATGCCGCCGCCCGTGGAATAGCAGAGAATGCGAGTGGTAGAGCGCGGCAAACTCAAAAGTTTCCGAGTAGGTCAGATGCGGCGTCTCAGTCACCACCTTCTTGAATTAATGAACGAATCGAAGAACTTGAGACAAAAGCCCGTATGCGTATGAGGTCAGAAATAGGGCAAATATTCGAATTGATTCTAGTGAAGGAATTGATATCAGAATAAATGATACATCCCGTTAACCCTAAGGCAAGCCATGTTCCTGAGACCTGAGACGAGTGGCGTGTCCTCATGCGACCACCGTATATCTTCTACCGGCCTGTATACGGTACAGGACAGTACGTACTAAATAAAGCGAGCCACCACGGTAGAGTAATGCAGGTTATGGTGTAGCAGTGCATGGGCAGCCCAGTGCGGCGTGTCTCTGTGTGCCCGAGCCAGAGTGCCCCGCATAAACGGAAGGGAGAGTGGCCTGGTTGGGATGGATGGTGGGCGGGATGCGGTAATGTTGGGGTGGGGGGGGCCATGGGAATCCCAATCCGCCATCTTTGACGTCAATCAGTAATACATCAAGTGGGTTTTTACGAGCAAAACGAGCGCCGAGGTTCCCACGTCCAGCGGAACTCAACGTCATTACAAGGGAGCGACAAGGGCAAGTATGCATGACTTGGAAGCCTTGCTGGGCACGCCAATATCGGGCGCTTACCACTGCCGAGGACCCCGGCGGACCGTTGTAACTGTCCAACGTCCTTCAGAGGATCCCCGGGATCCGGTCGATCACTTCCTCAATATTGCTTGAGGTTATGTGACTCTCTTGACTGTTGGATTAGATGACCTTGTTTTGTCGTCACGAGTTGACGAATTCCAGTTCAGTTTCAATCTTTGAATTGGAAGTGTGAAAGCCGAGGTGCTACTGCAACAATAATTCACATGAAAGTATGAAGGAAAAATAACCCAGTGGCTCTCTTAGAACTTTTCTCATAACCAGCCTACCGATATCTTATGAAAATAAAGGCCTACTGCATCCTCTCATAGGTAGCCATCAGAGAGCCTGGGTACAAAGACTGTTAGCATTTGGAATTTTATGATGAATTAGACTTTGCTAGACTTACCGATGAAAGTCGTGACCAGACGACTCCGGACTTGGCAGATATCCTCCGGCACCAGCCAGATGGTCGCACCCAACTTTCTTGCAATACTGATGCTGAGCTTGGCGTTGAGGTAAGCGTCCTCGTCAGTTCGGCCAGATGTGACAAGATCGTAATCGACGTAGCTGCTCTTCATGCCGTTGAGTACATCTAGAAGAAATACTCCACTTCCGATCGACGAGTCCTTGAATGACCGGATAGCAGAGCTCTTGCCTCCCTTTCGGGACATGTCGTTTGCCCATCTAACCATCTCAGCGTCGGTGATTTCCCTCTTGCCGAGTCGCTGGGCGAGTGCGGAGAGGGTGAGCGTGATGTCCTTTCGCATCAGCTGCCACACCAGACCGAGGGTGAGTGTCTTCTGTCCATCCGTGATATCCGCACCCTGGATACCGACAAGGGAGAAGCCATTCTGCTTGCCAAGCTCGATCGCGTAGTTGGTGTTCTCCACCGCCTTGAATCTCATGACCTCGCCACCATTTGCAGGCCTCTTGTTGACGTGACGCCAATTGACTGAGCCTTTGATGACCTTGTCGTACGCCTGCAATAGAATCGTGCCATCCCGCAGATCATCAAAGAAGGATTGCACTGCTGGCTGGACATCCAAGCTGTTGAGCCACAGTGTGAACACCCTGGCTTCTCGTTCTCCCTCAGCATCGAAGTCGTCAACTTGCTGCTTCTCCTCCTCAGTAATCGGGTCCAAAGCGGGATGCGTGTTGAAGAGATTAGCAACGAAAGCAAGGTTGAGTTTGGGATTGCCCGCAACGAGCGAGGTTGGAGTCAAGAACTTTCGGCATCCAAGCTTGTCGGCATTCTGCAGCACCTCCTCAGCTCTTTGCAGCAGATCTCGCGTCTGCAGTGGCGCTCTGGTAGCTCCGTACTCAGAACCGATTTGCGCCAAGAGAACCGTGTAATTCTCTCCATCCTTGACATCAGTAGAGAAGTTTGTCACTCTGCGAGGCCAGTTCGCCGCTTTCAGGTGGTAGTTGAACCAGCGAAGAAGAATCTGCTCAGGGGGCAAGCGCAGGAATTGCTCTAAGGTCTCGTCCTCCTCTAGAAGCCGGTACAGTTCGGGATGGAGCTTGATATCAATCTTGCCCAACAGACCGCGGCGGATGATCTGCCAGATCAGACCCAAGATGAGATGCTCCCGGACTTCGATGATGTCTCCACTTCCAATGTTGACAACCGAGCAGCCAATACCCTTTGCCGACTCAATGACAATATTGTTGTTCTCCGTCATGTGGAAGGCGTTCAAAGTCTTGACCTTTCTGCCGGGGACATTCAATACACGCTCGTCAATGGTATCCGGTACGCTGTCGTTGATGAGCTTGGCCAGCACGAGACCGTCCTTGCACTCGTCGAACATCTCGAAGGTGTCAGTCGGGAAGGGTAGGCGGCTGCCAATGTCGGGATCACCGGCAAGCACGGCATTGATGTGGCGGGTGAACTCAGTGCGCTCATCCTCGTTGATGGTGTGTGTGATGTTAGCATTCGAACCTTGAACGTGGATCTTGCCGCTGACACTGCCCTTGGAGGCATGACCGCCGCCGCCAGTCCTTTGTGCGACGACTCCGGATGGGGAGAGCGGAGCTGGGCCGGTTGAGAGACGCTTCTGCGCCGGCGATGAGTCGCGGAGCTTGGCAATAAGCTGTTGATCGAGAGATCGTTAGCATACATGATTCGGGGTTGATGTGCCTTGTAAGGGAAAGCGGACTTACCCCAACGTAGTCCTCCAGTTCTACTCGTCTCGAAGAGTCCAGGTCGACCTCCTTCAGGGCTTGTCGCACAACATCGTACGGCTGGCGCTCGCTTTGCTGGGTTGCCTTGATAGCTGTAGCCTCATCTATGTATCCCTTGTCGTCGACGTCAAGCTTCCTGAAGGCATCGGTAAGGCCGAAGATGTCGCCTTGTTGGAACTGAGGAAACTTCCTATATTGACATTGCGCAGTTAGTGGCGTGTATGCGAGGACAATCAAGCAGCACGAGGCGGATGATGGCCGTACCTCTGGAGTTTGAGAACATTCATGATGAGTTGATTGGGCTTTTCGAGGACTGGTTTGATGTGGTAGCGCCCTCGACTCTTGGCCCAAGAACCAGCGTGGGAGATGAAGTGCCGTTGTCTGCGCTGAAGAGCAAGTAATGTTAGAGGGAGTGATCTGCTGCGGGGCAGACTGCGGAAGCTTCTAGTCGCTTTCTATGGAGGTTGATGATCTCGTCCTCAGCGCCTTATGGGAGAGGCGGAAGACACGGAAATAGGAGAGCGGAAGAATGGCAAGATAGATGATCTATGGCCGTCGTAGAAGCTGGTCGCAGAGCTGGCCAACGGTGGTGTTTCGAAGGTTGCGAGAAGTTGGCGGGGGCGGGGGATGTTTGGCCCAGAAACCCTGATGTAATAATACGCGGAAGGCCTGCTGCCCAGCGGGTGGTAGTCCTGGTCCTGCATCAGCGCAGCTCGCTCTCGCACAGCAGCTAGCTGCCTTAAAACTTGGAGGGGCACCACACACCAGCCACAGTGACTTGCGTAAGGCGCCAACGCCCGCAACGCGCGCCAAGACCAGGCAGCTCTCAAAGCGTTTAGGTTCCGACTTGCCGGATTTGCTTGTCGCCAGCGCTAATAATGCTAATGTGCGCCGGCTAGGTATGCTAGCGAGTTAGTACGGTACTTTGCCTCTCAGGCGACACTACTGTCCATACACTGCCATCCTGGGAATCCTAGGGCTGCTGGGGAAGAGCATCTTGTATCCTGCTAACTCATTGGCATTTGCCTGGACAACCTTCTCGCCCCAGAACTGCAGGAAAAAAATTGTCTTGCATTGGACAAGCTTCAAGTGAAGCTTCATACCAGCGATATTAAGCTCTAGCTTGTCTCCCAAGTTACGACGCACCACAGCGAGAGTCTGCCTGCCTGCCAGGTATCGCCATTCTCTGTCTCAGCATCCTTGGCTCTTCGGCCTGTTCTGAAGGATTTGACCCCTATCACTTTAAATGTAAGGAAACAGTATTCTTATTCTTGCTTCTTGCCCATCGTGATATCATTTTGAAAAATACCCGCCATCTTCTTTGCATCCGGCATTGTCATTCGTCTCCTTAATGACTGGATTCACTCGGATGGCGGAGAGGAACCTCAGTCCACGCCAAACGTCTTTCTGACCTCGAGCATTTCTTCTCTACTCGACCGGACGGATACACTGGTTCGGACGACATCTCGCCTACGCCTACGCCTACATTACCATAGCTTTTGTCTGCTTCGCTTTCCTGTAACTTTTTATTCTTCTTGTTCTGACTTGCTCAGAGAATCCCCTTTCTCAACATGGCCGCCACCAAGTGCAAGGCCTGCGAGAACGACCTCATTCTCCAGGTCCACGAGGACGAGGATGATCCGTCATCAGAGACATTGTCCTTCCCGGACGATCTGGAGCTGCCCTGCGGCTGCCACTTCCACTGGCAATGCGTCATGGACGACGCGGCGCAGATCGCCGTGTCGCTCAAGTGCCCCTCCTGCGACGCCTACCTGCCCGCGAACCAGGCCGGGCCCTCGGCGACCAACACCGTCTTCCATGTGTCCCAGGGGCAGCGCATCCCCGCGCGCTACACGAGCGAGGGCGGCGTCCAGGACAACTACGACATCCTGCCGGAGATCACAGAGGAGGCCTACCTCGAGGCGCACCCCGAGGCACGGCCCGCCCGCGCGTTTCACGTCATGTGCGCCGAGGGCGACGTCGGCGGTGTCGTGGACTTGCTGAAGGGTGCCGCCGAGGAGGGTGCTGACCCGGATGCGATCCTGCGGTACCAGGACCCTCTGAGCGAGAACAAGAGCGCTCTGCATCTCGCTGTCGAGAAACAGCAGGAGGAGATCGTGTGGCTTCTTCTATGGCTGGCGTCGTCTCTCCATGAGAGTAACTTTCCCGCTGAGGCCATTGCCGCTGCTCAGGCTATGGGCGTTGAGCAGCGTGGAAGCGGTAGTGACATCCGTCTCTTGAAAGACAGCGAGGGTAGAAATGCAAAAGAGTATGCTCTCCGAGTGGGCGGCCGTTTGGGTGCTCTTGCAGAGACACTTGGTTAGGCATGTGGAAGCGTGATGTAAGCTGATTTACTATAAAAGTATGCCGTCAGTGGATTGTAGTATCTTATGGCATTCAGCGGCGTTCGGGTACCAGGATAATCACAGTAGCATAGTTTGCGAGTTGTGAGGTGGGATAGATACGATATCACGAAGGTAAACGATTCACTAGCAATACATGGAATTTGAAGAGTCGAGGCTGAAGTTGATGCGGTGACCATTTTCTCAATATTACATACAAGGCTGGGGTATATTTCAGCGACAACGCTATCCTTCTATGTGCTCTATTTCGTGGGCTCTTCATTGCCGTTCCCATCCCGCCCTTTATTTGACAGGAGTTGCGACATGATGAAATGGCTAACATCCTCATCGGCCCAATAGCCCATGTGCGACGCAATGGTATTGATGGGATTGAAGTCGAGCACGCTCTCTTGAATACTGTAGTCGACCCGGCCATTGCGGTTGAGAGCTCGCACCTTCAGCTCCTCACGACGCAGCTTCGATGCCTTCTTCTCTTCATCGACCCATTTGTCCTTGATGGTGTCACCCTCTTCCTGGTTTAGATCGACGCGTTTCTTCTGGAACTGACTGTAGAGCGTCTCAAGGTCATCATCAATGAGCGTCATGTCATTACCATTCCGCCCATTGCCGCTGGATCCCTTCCGCTTTTCTGCCAGCTGTTTCTTCCGCTCATCAGCCTGTCGACTCAAGTGAGACGAATCGGAAATGACCCCCGTGGAAGTCGAGATGTTGGTTCCTGCAGCTGGAGACGGCGTGTGTTGCGGTGAGGCAGAAGCAGTGATGTTGGCAACATCTTCCTGAGTGAGACCCAGAGAACGGTTGAGCATGGTATTGGCGATGCCGGCACTCAATGAGGACCAAAGGCCACTCACAGACTGGCCAACTTTGGCACCAATGCCTGTTAAGCCCTGCGGTGCGACGCTGCCGAATATGCCTTTCTTCGTATAAGGCAGCATCTGGGGTTTGAGCGTGGACATGGCTGGCGAGATGAGTGGCTCTAAACGATAACTAATTGGGTCAGATGGGTGGAAGATGTTGAATAGCTGCGAGACTTTGGGCGAGGAGATCGAATAGGGCAGGCCAGTGATTGGGGAAACACGCTGGTCTGCGTTGGCGACAGGATACGAGAGGAAGGGGTCGTCCATGTATTCTGGATTCAGAGGGCTTTCCGAGGGAAGCGCATTCGGTAGATGTCGTGCTGAGATTGTGCTTTGACGACTGTTAGTATTATATCGTGATACGTGATCAGGCAAAACACTTACCGGCCCTTTAGCATCTGAAACAGGCCCACCGGAGAACCTAGACAGTAGAAATCCTCGCAGTCAAAATCGAAGCTGAGGTCTCGAGGATCCTTATGTTCAGTACGTGGAGAATCAGCCGGCCAAAAACGAAGCGGATTTCTAGGAGGCTCCATATTTTTCGGCTTCTCCTTTTGTCGACAAAGGATATCGAACATGATGGCAGAGCCCAAAGAATGACCCATCACATGGATCTTGCCCTTGAAGCCGGGGTTCCTCTCAAGGAAAAGTTTGTATATCCGGTTAGACTCTTTGTAGACGATATTCGAGATCTGCTCTCGATATGCGCTTTGGTAAAGGAGCACGTCCAATGCCAGGTCTGATATCAAGGAT